ATCATAGGGACTAAATTCTATTTGTTAAAGAAAAGATGAATTTTTGCTTGGAAATCACTATTTTGTTTCCAAATACTACCGTGTAGGGTTGTAACAAGTTCAGATTCATATAGAGCGCAAAATTATGAATTAGAAAATGTGTTTTCCATTGAATTTGATAGAATTAGAATGCTAGGAGAGCCAAAATAATGAGGAATGACTTCAAAGAGTGACTAGAGGTATTTTGAAGGACGAATGTTTTTTTAGAGGTCTGATGACACTATTCGTCATCGGCACCACAGACACGAAAGGTGTGAATGCAGTTTCTCGAGAAATAGACTAGATAAAAATGATCAGAATCGATTATGTGTTCGATGGTATACAGACGCTCTCGGTCATGAGCGCTCATTTGAGCGTGAACGTGAGTTGTACACCCCTATCACATAGTAACCTTAATAGAGCACGTGACTGCTTGACACACGTCAGTTTGATTATAAGTACTCAAGCGAATACCTATTATAGGTTACAATGAACCTGAAGTGTGCGTTGCTTAAATTTCTAAGCTTATTTGAATTTTACGCTACACTTGGCAGAGGGAAATTTTTATAAATGCAGTACTTTCTGTTGCCTTTTAGTAAGTATGGCTGTTAATGCAAGAATATTCAATCCATTGGAAGCTTCAAAATACTTGGAAGCGTTGAGAAAAGATTCGAAATTGTCATCGTTCATTTGTTCAAATCACGAGCTAGATTGGACCAGATATGAAGGTCTAGAGTCAGAAGCAGTGAAACAGGTGGCCTCTAAATGTAGCGATCCACGAATGAAAGTTCTGTACGAGCAGGCACTGGAAACATTAAAGGATAAAAATGATGGTGAATCAATTCTAATTACAGGACATGGTGATTCGGATCCAAAATCATCGACACTGAAGAAATCCTACGTTTTCTATGCTGAAAATAAAGATGGTAAATATGATATTGTAGCTGCACATGCAACGCAGACAAAAGTGCTTAACTGGGATAAAATCACAGCTGGTGCATTAGTTACTTTTTTAACAAGCATTGGAATCGGTGCTGCCGTTGGCACTATGGCGGGACCTATAGGAACTGCCATCGGTGCTGCTGGTGGTGCAGTTGTAGGCGGCGTAGCTGCCGCTTCAACTGTTGGTATCAAAGCAAAAAACGATTATCGTGAAGAAATGCCAGAAGCCGTGTATGCCTATCTTTTCAAAGAATTACAAGAGAAACAACAGTTAGCAATTACAGGCAGCAAAGTAACACTTCAACAAAATCAAGATTTGAAAGACAGTAGTTCTACGAAGTCCAAGAGTGACTGAGTCTTCTTTTCATTTCTGAAAGTTGTAACATCATTTTAGTGTTAATTGGAAAACAGACTGATTTAATTCAAAAACAGATGAATCTATCTCTTAGCGAAAAGACAAATCAATCTGCCAATCTCAAATCTTGCTTTTCAGCAATCGATCAGTGTTGAAAACAAATTGAATAATTGAAGAAGTGCTAAATAAAATTTTGCTTTATACAAAATTTTAAATTAATACAGAATTGAATTTTGCCGATGCGTTTCGTGTTATTTAGTTATAATTATAATAAAACGCTCTTCAGGGCTCTGCATTACATATATAACACGAAAATTCGGTTTTTCTTTTTCATCATAAAATGAAAAATGAGATTAATATTATTTAACGAAGTATAAACAAATAGTAGTAGGGAAGGAATAAAAATGCACAATAAAAGTATAAATTTGTAACTAAACTTAAATACTCTAAAAGTAACACAAATGTTTTTTACGGTAAACGGCAAGATGCTCCCCAGGCAGATGCTCCCCAGGCAGATGCTCCCCGGACAGTTCCTCCCCGGGCATTTGCTTCCCACGGACACTTGCTCCCGGGATAGTTGCTCCCCGTGGATACTTGCTCCCCGGATAGTTGCTCCCAGAACAGTAATTCTACAGAAGTGTGATTCATACAAAAGTCCAAAATAATTTTTCAAGAGTTCTATATTAAAATAAACTGGGGCAATCAAGTGAGTTAGGAATCGACGTGAAATCTAAGAATCTATTGGAAATTCAATAATTGATTTCGAATCTATCATCAGTCTCGTTGAATGTTCATCAATTAATGAAAAAAGCAAATATATAATTAAACATGTACTAGTGAATGCGGAAAAAATAAATTAGTAACATACAAGAGATCAAAAAGAGAAGTGTCATAAAAAGAAAACAATCAATGTAACACTGTTCTTATTTGCCTAATCATTTTTCAAAGCTATGTATGTATTGTAACATTTTTACTTCGTCCAATTAGTTATGTGTGTGACATGAGAGATGATTTAATTAAGTATGTGCGAAATTTTTACGATGCAAAATTTGTACATAATTGTTTTCTTTGATAGCGATAGTATATATATAAAATGAATAAAAAATAAGTGTTGATACAGGTCATATACACAATTACGGAGCAAACATTGATTAGTCTAAACAATTTTGTATAGTATACAATTTTTGTAAATTTACTTAAGTCAATAGATTTTTGATTTGTGCCACATCATTTTATCTGATAATCATATCAAAGTTCATTATTACAGTGATAAACCTTTTTTTATTATACTATGGAAACTTTTAAAGGAAAGCCATTATTTGAACATCAAGGTTATCTTTATACAGTAAATAAAAAAATCAGGTGACAAAGTAATATGGTGTTGCCGTAATTATAGACATGGTCAATGTCGTGGTCGACTTCATACGATCAACAATCAAGTTATTCAAATAATTGGTGATCACAATCATGAACCAAGCAGTTCGGATGGACAAGTAGCTGCAGCACGTACACGAATGAGTGATTCAGCCAAACAAAGTTGTTTGACAACACATACTATTGTGGCTGACGCAATGTTCGAAAAATCCGACAACGAAGTCAAAATCCATTATCATTACCAACAACTCGTGATTCCATTGTCATTGATCCGCAGTATACAATAAAAGCTCGCGATCGAACATTTTTACATTTTGATTCGGGATCCATCGATCAACGGATATTAATATTTTCAACAAAAAAACAATTAAAAATATTGGAAAATGCAAATTATATATATTTAGATGGTACATTTAGTGTAGTGCCAGAATTGTATTTCCAATTATATACAATTCATGCTACATATTTAAGTCATATAATACCAGTTGTTTATATATTGCTGACAGGTAATCATGACTTAGTAAATCTTGTAATTCTTCCATTGATGTTTCTCTATTTAATTTAGGCAAGAAGCAACGTTTATATAAAGAAATATTTCAACAAATAAAGAATTTAATACCAAATTTTGATCCACCAAATATTATGATTGATTATGAACGTGCAACTATTAATGAAATTAAAAAACAGTTTCCAAGTTCAAACGTATCCGTATGCTTTTTCCATTTATGTCAAAATGTTTATCGCGCTGTTATACATTTTGGCTTAAAGACATTATATAGTGAAGATGAAGATTTTGCAAAACAAATTCGTTCATTACCAACATTAGCACTTTTACCTGCTCCTGATGTAATTCCTAACCATATTTAACAAAAACGCCAATCAGCACAATATTAGGATATAAATAACATTTGAACCTGAAACCTGTTTTTTGTAATTTTTAAACTTTTTCTGCCGTGTTTTAAAAACAACACTTTCAAGGGGTTTCGCGCTTACAATTTTGAGGTCATATATTTTTCATGGCTCTTTGTGGGCATTTAGAAATTCTTAAAATTACTGCTCTGTAGGTGTTTGAACACGATGAATCAATTGGAGTTTGTCCCAACCTGCTTTGCAGGAGTTTCACAGAATCATAGTATGTATAAAACCATCAAAAACCCCGTTCTGCGCAGTTTTTCTAATTCCATAAGAAAGAGCACGTCTAAAAACACAGAATGGCTTTGTTTCATGTCGAATAAATTACTTTTCAACCAAATTTTCACCTGGCCTATTGAAAATTGCCAACTGTACAAAGGCTGTAAAGATTTTTTGACTTTCTCCGTCCTTAGCATTAGGCCTTTTCAATGTATTCTAGAAGACGATCTAAACTAACTGGATTTTCTGTCACCATATTTTTACTTCCGTTGACCGTCCATTTTGTAACTTAAATGGTGAGAAGAAACGTTGAGTCGTATTGCAATTCTATTTTCCATAACATTCAACATCTTAAGTTTTGGAAATTTAAATACTAATATTAAAAATAGCAAAAGAAGTGATAACATCTCGTTGAACTTCAAGTTCTTGTGAAGGGTTTCAAAGTGTAAATTAAGTTCATTCAAACCAAGGTGCGCGTAATTCAAAAGTATAGTACTATCGCAAAAGTCTTATAAATGTCATCTCATTTAAGCCAAAACCGACTAAACTATTGCCGGACGACCTGAAGGATGTGTGACAAAAAGTACAATTTGCACAATAAAACATTCGTAGCTTCCGCTGCAGAAGAAGCTTCTAAAAAAGATACGTAGTTTTTAAGAAGTTCGCTATGAAAATTCTCGCATGACGCGAAATCAAGCCCCTGTCTGTTATCGTTAACAAATTTAGAGATTATTGACGCAGTGATTTTGAATTTTTGGATCTATTTTTCAAAAAACTTTCAAGGAGGAGGTTAGAAATTTTAGGGTTCGATAAAGTTTTAAATGGCGAACACAATTACTTTAAGGTCAAATGATTTTGGTTTTAAATGATAAAGAGTGTAGACGGTCAGCCCCTTGAGGCGAATTCGCCATCTCTCTTTCATATTCTCCGTTTCTTTTGTTTTAATAATAGGGGTGAACAAGTACAGCTCACGCTCACACGATGAGCGCGAGCGGTCACTGCTCATGCTCATATGAGCGCTGATGACGAATATCATCGTGAGAACTCTCAAAAAGCTTTTATTTGTGAAATAGCTCTAATCACTATTTGAACCGCTTTTCTGATTATTTGACCCTCATAGCACAATTATTCACTCAAGCTAAGCGAAGAACAATTTTTCTAACTCAGAATTTTGCGTTGTATGCGAATCTAAACTTTTTACAGTCATAAACTGTAACATCTGCAAAGAAACTAGCGATCCCCCAGCAAAAATTAACATTTTCTCTAACATATCGAATTTTGTACCTATGACAATTTGTGAAGTCAGTCCTATTGCAACGTAAGATTCGAACCATTAGTGTAATTTGTCAAGGTCTTTCGATCGGTAGTTACAAAAAGGTAGAAGAATATATGTAACAAGGTGAGAAGTAAAAAAAATATAGAAAGCGTTTGCCATCGTCGAAACAAATATGGCCGAAAACAGATCACCTAAAGTAAATATTCTTGAATTAGATAGCATCAATATAAACATTCGAATCTCTTGTAAATTAGCTGTTTCATCATCTTTGGTTCAATGATCTTTATCTAAATGATGTGAATATCGCGGAATAGCACACTCAACGGAATACACTTAACTCATACGTATCTATGTTGAGTTTGGCTATATTTGTATAGTTTTCAACGTCAAAGTAGTATATTGAAAAGACGATGCGCGTACGAAATGCTCTATTTTCTATCCTATCTTGATAGAATATTTGAGAGACAAAGAAAGAGGGTACCACTACCTCAAATATTGAAACGTGTGAGATTATTTTCAGTTTGCGCTATATTTATCTACGTTTTTATTAGTTTGAAGGTGAGGAGAAACATCTTAGAGTTTCGAATTGACAAAGTAATGATTTCTTTGCAGTTCTCTGTCAGTAGGAAGCCTTATTCACGCAGAAAGAACGTAGGAGTGCATGAATTATATTAGGAGATTGTGACGGATTCCATCCATCACGACTCCTTTAAGAGTGCATGTACTCATTAATCATTCTTATCATCTAATCATTAGTTTATATTTGCTTCTCTCTTCTCTTCTTCTTCACTGTTTATATTATTCGTATCAGCATTTGTTACTCGAAAAAAAGCATTCATTCTGAATAAAAGGAGGAACGAACAAGTCGTTCCGTCACAGAGATGACATCATATGATTATATACTTGATAAAAACTAACTTAACCTCTTGGTTAAAGCCAATAGATTAGCACCTCAAACTATGATCCTATGTGATAGTCATTATTAGTGTTATTTTTTGTTGTCTTTCTTGCATCTCATGTATGATTGATGTCTTGGGAATTCATTGGCAGTCATCTGATCGCTGGCAAATCGCTAGCATTTTACACAATGTGCAGAAATTTTTACAGGAAACTGGAACTAAACTTGCTCTCAATCTATCATACATAGAAAATTATTAGAATCATTACCCCTAAGAGAAGAGGATAGCCGGGGAAAACAATGAGCACAATGATATATTTTATCTATCCGATTTGAAGTAGCTACGTAAATGCATCAAAGCAAAGCAGATTTATCATTCATATCAATATAAAACATTCACGTACAGATATTTTTAATTTTAGTGGAAATATTATGTATTTCTTTTAATTCAAACTATCTTTTTAATGCTTGGAGAAAGAGACACAACCCAATGTCGAATATGATTTGATGAAATTGAACGAGGCCTCTTATGATATCTCCCCGCTTTTCTTCACCTTTTGCTCGCAATCAGACAACAGTTACAGATGACTTCTTGCAATTCTCAAATTTATTCCGTTGGTAATATGATCTTTTCTTTTCTTTT